CTCTCTCTCTCTCTCTCTCTCTCTCTCTCTCTCTCTCTCTCTCTCTCTCTCTTTTGCGGGTACTGGTTGTACCAACAGGATGATCCCCTGTTTGAAGAGCCGTAGCCCATGTCCTAATAGCCAACACACATTCCCAGGGGCCCAGCAACTGTTTAGCACAGGTGGCTTCTGAAGAGTTGAGGCTGATGCAAGACATTTTGCCACACTGCTTGTTCCTTAACAAATATGAGGCAACAAGTTCTAATGCTCTCTTTTTCTCAGTTGCTTTCTTTCCTGCCAGTAACAGAGCACTAGATATGACCACATCCTCCTCACTGCTCCATCCTGGTTGCAGAGAAAAGGACAACAGGACAGCTCAGGAGATGCTGTATGGAAGGGTCCTTGGTGCTTTCTGAGTTTGGTTGCTTTCTTGCAGGCGTTTCATTACCAAAGTAGGTAACATCATCAGTGCTAGAAGGGAGTGGGGTGTTGCTCCCAATTAGCACTGATGATGTCACCTGGTTGGGTAATGAAATGAGCACCAAGGGGGCCCTTCAGTTCAACCAGGAGCTGCAAATATTCTCCTTTATTGATGCTACGTAGAATACCGCTGTCGGACATTATAGACATAAGTTGTTCCCTGCAGGATTAGACCCATGCAGCCTGTTCTCACGGGGACCTCAAGAACTCCATCTTATTGGAATCATCATCCTAAAGTCCCAATTGCTTTAGGATACATAGTGATAAACATAGATGCAAAACTAGGGATAGAAAGAAGCTGCTTTGGAAGCCTGGGCCAGTGGAAAAGTTCAGATCTATCCATCAACAACAGACCTTCTGCATATTATACCCAAGAGAACAGGCAGTTGGAGGCCATCAAACATCCTGCTGAGGGTCATGGGAGAACATAAATAGGTTTTATTCTCTCTGTTGCCTCCTCAAATGAAGGCCATAGAATCGTGTAACCACGTGAAATAAACTCTGAAACCTTTGGGAGAGTAGAGGAGCAGAGCAGAGCAGAGCAGAGTAGAGTAGAGTAGAGTAAAAAACAGAACAGAACAGAAAAGGTCTTTATTGGTTAAGTCATTTAATAACCATATCATTGGTTATCTTCATCTAATGAAGGATATCTCACCCTCATTTTGGGAAGGAAGAAATGGCCATCTGAGTAGTCAGTTCTAGTGGTCAGATCTATCTGTTAGGAAACTCGATTCTAGAAATAGTTCTCATAGGATTGCTTAATAAAGCTGAATCAATATGCTCTGGAGATGTTATCCTTTTTCTTTTTCCTTTCCTTCTTTTTATTGCTGCTTAACTGGACAGGCACAGTTTAATCGTGAAAGTTTAGCGCGCAGGCTTCAGTTCTGCCACTGCTCTCCTGTGACCCACTTGGTTTTGAGTAAAGGATACCTTTGACTACAACTGGGGTTGAGGGTCTTTCTTGCCTGAAGGACCAAGTCGGGGCAGGGCTGACATGCCAAGATTGAGAAACGCGGGGCTTAAGTGTAACACCTCCGACATTACGGGAAAATAGAGCCATCGGATCTTACCCCACAAGGAACAGAGGGAGGGCTGTTTGATCCTCAAGGTTGCAGCAATTGTTTCTGTCTTCTGGGGAGATCTGAGATCCAAAGGAAATGCAATTTCTTTCCCTAATAGGTGGGAACTGGGGGTGGGGAGAGAGAAGTCCTTTAGCTGAGCTTGAGCAGCCAAACTGCTTTGTCCATTTTCTGCCATTTATATCTGTTCGCTCATCTTCCTTGCTGTAGAAACTGCCCATTACTTGACCAATAATCCTTTCTACTGCATTTATGAAAGTGTGTTGACACCCTCCTTGTTTGTTCTCTGGATTTATGGGTTTGCTATATTAAAAAGAGTCTGTCAGATATAAATCAAGAGACAAAAGAGATGGGCAATTTCACCGCCACCCCCTTCTTCCTTCGACCACCAAGCCTCAAGCAACTTTGCGGTGTGTTTATTATTCCTTCATCCACAGGAAGGGGAAAAAATAATAATTTTAAGCTACCCTCCCTAGAAACTGGCATTCAGGCCGCCCAGGAAGATAAACTCCCTAACCAAGATCAGGGAAAGCAATAGAAGTGTTTTATAGCATCGCGGACAATATCTGTTTAATTAGACAGACTTTGGCCATCTAGCCATCATCCCGCACCCCAACTGTAGTACACTATCACAGTGGTGGCTAACCTTTTTGGGCTCCTCTGCCAAAAATTGTGTGTGCGCTGGTGCGCAGACTTACATGGCAGCACCCAGAAGGCAATGCACCCCCACACTCCCCCTGCGCGTCCCGTAAAAGGCCTCAAACCAGCCGAAAATCAGTTGTGAGGCAGGCACATGCACAGTGAGATAAATTTGCCTGTGGCTTGCATGCTGGCCCAAATGGTTCTGTGTGCCACCTGTGGCATGCGTACCATAGGTTCGCCATCATGGCGCTATCAGGTCTTCTTCTCGTCTGCTTTAATGTTATTTTAATCTTTAGGTTCCTGTGGGCGACTGCAGGGGTGGGATTCAATTTTTTTAACAACCAGTTCTGTGGGCGTGGCTTAGTTGGTGGGCGTGGCTTGGTGGTCATGTGACAGGGTGGACATGGCTTGGTGGTCATGTTATTGGCTGGGTGTGGCCAACTCAATATCACTCACATCGAGGCACGCATCTCCTCACCTGGCCTCTTATGACTGTGGGGATGCTGCAACAATCGTAAGTGTGAAAAATGGTCATAAGTCACTTTTTTCATGGTCACTCCACACAAGCAAAGTACCAGCAAAGGAGGGGAAAAAAACTCCAGAGAAGTTCCTGAGACAGGAAGTCTAGTCCTGCCAAGAATGTAATAAGGGTTAATGGAGAAGCAGTTTCTGTAAGCAACACCAGAATGTTTCCTTCCTGCCTTCCTGACAGGATTAGCCCTGTAATTTCTTCTAACAACTGGTTCTCCGAACTGCTTAGAATGTTAACAACCGGTTCTAGCAAATAGGTGCGAACTGGTAGAATCCCATCCCTGGGCGACTGTAATAAAAGGCGGGACTGAAGGAGGTGAACTCAAGGCCGTTTCTCTTCTCTCTGTCTCCCTGCAGGTGAGAGGCCCTTTGTATGCCGTTGGGAAGACTGCAGCAAGAAGTTTGCCCGGTCCGACGAGCTGGCCCGTCATTTCCGCACTCACACGGGGGAGAAGAAGTTCTCGTGCCCACTCTGCGAAAAGCGCTTCATGCGGAGCGACCACCTCACCAAGCACGCACGCCGTCACGCCGACTTCCACCCTAACATGCTCAAGAGACGAAGCGGCTGCAGCTCCCGGACTGGGTCTTTGAGTGACTACAGCCGGTCCGATGGGTCCAGCCCCAGGGACAGTCCTGGCAGCTCCCCCTAAAATCTACCCCCAACCTCCAGCCCTGTGCCTGCACTCTGCTCTCCGCCTTCGCATCCAATTCTTTGGAGCCCCCCTTTGCGTTGTAATGCTTCGCTTGGCACCCTGTCTTTAAACAAAGCAAGAGAAAACGTTGGCCTTGTTTTGAAGGGAATAAGAGAGAGGGGGGATTTTTCCCCTGCTAAATTGCTGCCGGTGGGGGGAGGGGGGAATTGGCACAGTAGGACTTGAGTTTTACGTGTTTTATTCCATGGTCCTTCCAGGAACCTCTTTCTGGACATTTCTTTTTTCTCTCTGTGTGTGTGTATGTGTGTTTTTAAGCCTTAAGAAGATGCTCCTTTGTGTAGTTTTTTTTTTTTGCTCAGGTGTCAAAGGGAATTTTGTAGGGAAACAAAAAATGCAAAAATGCAAAATGCAAAATGCAAACCCAGGAATGTCTCTCCAGCCAGGTCGGTTCTAATTTTCCTCCGTCAAACTCTCCTCTTACTCAGGGATAGATCTATTTATGTACCATGAAGACACATCCAACAACAACCTTGTTTGATAAAGACATTTGCACTCCGAACCTGGTCCTTTTTGGTCCTTTCCTGCAATACAGCAAGAAAGTCAGGCCAATCTTTGCACTCAAGACAATTTGATTTCACAGTTGGGGTAAATCGCTTGGAGAGTTTGGATCGTCTCCTCTACAATTTCAATCAACCAGCCCTCATTTCCCCCCACCCTCTTTTTTCAAGTTGTTTCATGCTGAATGATTCTACCAGCACCACCAACTTCCTGTAGCAAGAAGAAGAAGAAAATATGTATAAAAAGTTTATACTCGTAAAAGAATCGCAGGGGGTAGGTGGAATTTAAAAAAAAAAAAAAACTGAAGTAGGTGCCTTAATCGTGTTTTTATTCTAAATCTAGGAAATATATATTTACACTGGGGAACATTTTGTTTCAGCAGCAAAGGACAGAATTGTGGGGATCACAGCTTGTGACAGCTTCCGGAGATGGAAGTTCTGAGCTGAACTCTTGGATCTGCTTCTCTGCAGGCCTTGTGCAAAAGTAGACCTGAAGAGGGCATCGGTTTGAATAATGTTCCACTTTAAAAAAACAAAAAACAAAGCCTTCTTCTGGAAATTGTGTTTGACATCCAGACTTTGTCAAGGTATTTGTGCTGATTTCCGATCCTTTGGGGCTTAAAAGCCAAAGAGTCCACGAAATTCTGCATTATGGTGAACCGGTCAGTACATAACCAGATAAATGGAAGCAAGCAACGATGATCAGGAAATACTAACTTTTGAAGGACAGTGGAAGCAAAACCTGCATCTAGAAAGTGTTAAAAAGATGGTGTTTTAGCTCAACAGCACTTCACAATTTCCCTCGCTGGCTGTCAGTGCAGTGTAGGGTCTGAAGGATGTACTTAAATCTTCTTCTCCATCCAGCAAAAACTCTAGGATCTTCCAACAGATTTCCCGTTTTCTTATCTAGCAGTTTGGACTGCTTATCCCTCCAGAAGTCCCACCAAGCAGAAGGATCTCCTGCACCCAAGTGGAACAGGCTCACGACCTTAAAAAAGCTAGCTTTCTCCAAGGACTTGTGACTAAAAAGCTTAACTCAGCAGGAGAGATCTGTGGATATGTAAAAAATCTCCTTTCATGAGTGGGGAGGTGACTCGTTTCAAAACTGGGCCCCGTCTCTTTGTTTGGCATGGATGGGTGGATTGGGTCCAAGGTTGATAATGCAACCCTCTTGAAATGGATGTTCTCTAGGTGTCACTTTCAGAATTCCAGCTCTGGAGGTTGCTTTCTCAACAGATGTGGAAGGTTTTGATAAGATTCATCTCTGCTTTTCAAGTTAAGATTGGGGGAAACCAGCTAGAAAGGTTGGGAGACGTTTCCCTCCTAGAAACCTTGTTGCTCTTGAACTTGGCTTGTTCCAAGATTATATTTCAATGCGTGGAGTGCTTTCCCTGTGATCGTGTTCAACTTTGAAAAAAAAATACTGTTAATATAAATGCAGCTGACTGTAGCACAGTAAAGCAAACTCCATTCCTCCAAACTACTGTTTACGATTGATGCAATCACCTCTACATTCCAAAGGTGTTCTAACCAAGACTTTTCTTCCACTTTGCAATAATTCCGTTTTGCCAGATGACTTAAAACACATGTGTGCACATAGACATAACTGTACTGTACATAGATTTGCAAAAAAAATAATATGCCACCCATTAAAGCGTAGCTGGTAGGTGCTATTTATCAAATCCTCTTCCCCGTGTACTACCATCTGCTGTATAAAAACGGCTCTACATCTAGATATGTTCCAGTATTGATCTCAAACACAATTTCAAGTTTCATTTGAGGTTCTCCTAAAACCAGAACTTCACTTTCCAACCTCTTTTGATAGCTAAGGATGGAGGCGGTTATCAAGGCAGGACTTGGAAACACTCAACAGCTAGCAAGAAATATTTATTGTCTATAGCTAGGTGTCCTCTTGAAGATATAGCTAGCAACAAAGGTTCAGATTGATGATGGCCAAGAACTATTTACAGAGAGATGGCTACAGAGAACAGTCTAATCCCATTTAGTCCCAAAAATCCCTTTTTTAAAATTACCTGCAGGATGTGATTGGCTCTCCAAGATCACCAGATCTCTCTTCCATTTCACAAACACAGAATTGCAAAAATAAATTCTACCGTGCCTTAAACGGTCTCCTTCCACCTGGGGTCAGCCAGATGTGTTAGGAAGTACCATCCCAACACACCTGGAAGGTGGGGAAAGGGAGATGGCCTTAAACACAACCCTCCCAATAAGATCTTAGCCTTAATCTTCAAGAGATACCAGCCCTTGCTTCAGAGTGCTCTTTTTTCCTTTTGTGGCTCAAGAAACAGGCATTGAATCACCCAAGGATCATGCCAAAGAGCTAACCAACCATGGTGCAGTCTGAAGATAACCGATGTGGTACTGTTCCTCACCTTGTTCGAAGGACTGGAGTTGTATGGAGGGATCTTACCTAGAAGGAATGGGCACCTCCACTAAATCCACTATTGTAGTCCTTTGGATCAGCAGGGTTCTTGTCCCAGGAATTTCAATTTTTGTTCTGCTGTCACTACTGTCATTTCATTAAGCGAGTGCAGCTGACTTTCTTTGGCAAAGCTTGGTCCACCAAGCCAGTCATGGGCCCTTTCCTCCTCCTTTGGGTGGGTAGAGGGTCTTGTTCTGAGTATATTTACTCTTTCTTGGGTCAAGACGATGGCATTAGACAGGCAACTGATGGAAAAGCATCCTCATCTCTATTTATTTGGCAACATGAACCATGCGCTTCTGAGGCTTTTCAAAATCCTTTTTGTGCTCATTACCATTTCATATCGAACAGTAAATGTAATCAAAACACTCAGGGTTTGCTAATAATTGTCTGCTGTCTGGCGACAGGACCTCATTTTAGCTTTGCTAGCCACTGTTTGATTAATGTTGATTAGGCTAAACTGGGTCCTAATTTGATGAAAATTCTGCTTCAGATTTTTCATGGGAAAGTGCTCTGCTCAGCAAGGCAAGAAAGAGATAAATCTTGTTCCTGCTCTTTGAATTTCCCGGTCTTTGTTTGCTTTCATTTAGGACTTGACTCTGAAGTTATTGAGATCTCTCCTGCAAAATGTTCTTAACTGTTGCACTCTAGAGCATGACTGTCCAACCTTGGCTACTTTAACACTTGTGGACTTCAGGTGTTCTAAGAGTTGGAAATCCACAGGTCTTAAAGGGGCCAAGATTGGACACCCCTGTTCTACATGATCTTCCATAGCAACTGATCTCGGATCTCAGCCATAACTCCGCTTTCATGCTCACCTCTCAATTTCCATTTCCAGTCAGGGGTCCTTACTGGATCTTACTGGATCTGGAAAAGCAGCAGGTGGACTTGCTCTCTGTTGGAGATGCCTGACCATCTCATCTAAGTCAAAGTGTGGTGGACTTCAGCAATTAGACAATACTAGACAGAAGACCTTTAAACTGCTGTTATGGTCCCATTTTTCCACCTCACATTTTTTTGCTTTTTTGCTCTGGGAGCTGTTTACAACTGTGTCATTAAAAAAAAGACGTGTTTCACTATCTATCCATGTGTTATGTTCACAGGGTTTCCTATTTATTGTAATGCAGAACTTTCCTTGTTGCATATAACTTGCCGTTGCTTCCAGGGGTGCAGCTTCCCCTCAGGGCATTAAACCTCATTACCTTAAGCAGTTGAAGTGCTTAATCTGAATAAATTATGCAGATTAAGCAGCTCTAAATCAGGGTGCCAGTCAGTAAGGCCTTTGGGCTGCAGGCCATTGGAGTTCACTCATTGTTAAGTAGGATATCTGGAACTTGGAGCAGTGTCCTTCTGCGAATAGGTTTTATGTATATAATGATAAGGAAAGCATACTCTGTATATAACTGCAGTGCTTGGCTTCTTCTAATGGCTTGCTCCTTTAAGCAGGCATACATCTTGTGTATGATATATCTGTGCCTCAGTTTCCTGAATTTGAATTCCAGAATTTGAACCATGGAAACTGGGAACCATTTGGTGGTGACAACAATGGAGTCGGCCACAAGATATCGGCCTCCATTGTCCACCAAATTAGGAAACCCAAGCTCTCCCTGGATTGGGCTCCTTCCGGCTGCGAAGAGGGCTCGGGACTGAAGGTAGCTTTCACATCTGGTTGAGATTGTTGTGCCTTCTTACAAAAATGCAAGCTGGGTCACCGAGCAAGCGAAGGGAGCAGGTTGCAAAAATGGGTTTGCCATCCACCTCACTTAGCTGATGGTACCTCTGAAATAACAAGACTTTGCATGGGTCTTCTTACTTGAATGCAGTGTTTCTCCACCTGGTCAGCTTTAGGACAGGTGGACTTCAACTCTCAGAATTCCCCAGCCAGACCAAGTGGAGAAGCACTGCTTTAATGGGATACATTCCCAGCACCCTCCATGTTTTCAGAGTACTGAAGCAAAAGGCCCAACAGAGAACATCAGTAATAACTCTTGTGGCAAATGAAAGTTAACTGAATTTATGTTTTCTCTGGTATTTTCCATGAATACGGAAGAAAGTCTGTTGCGTGCATTATTCAGCACAGCAGGGCTGAATTTTGAGATGTAAAACATTTCTTTACATCTTGGATCTGGATTTCATACTAGGTGTAACCTGGAGAAGTGCCTACAATTTTAAAAAAAGGTTCTTTTAGCAAAGCTTTCCCTAGATTGGTGTTTTGAGGTATATTTTATTGCAGGTCCCCATAAACCAAGGCTGTCAAACTTGTGGGCCATGGGCCAGATGCATCACACACTGGCCATGCCCATGCCAAGGGGGGGGGGAGTCATGATACGTCATGTGACGCCATCATGACGACATGAGTTTGACACCCCTGCCATAAACCCATTGGCTAGAAATTCTGGGACTTCTGCTGTAGAACCTCTGGAAGATTTGCTATTGGAGAAGGTTGTCCAGACACAAAGCTTTCTTCATCTACATATCTACTGCTCCATCCCTACCAGGCCATGCATATGGTCTTAATATAATAGTCTCGGCACCTTCCAGAATTTTGTGGCCTTGGCATGGATATACCCAACATGATGAATCAGGACAGCGTCTTGAGATGGTTAACGGTTGCATCTTGTCTCCTCGTTTGCCATGTCCTTTCAGTATTTAAACTCCTTTTCTCTCCTATTTTCTGGAATCTCCACCCTTGCCCAGACTTAGCTTGTGAGAATCTGGAAAATGTTCTGATGGGATTTCAATCCCTGAAGGATTGTTTCTGTTCAAGATGTCATCTCCCAGCCTGGATTAAGGAATCTTCTCCTCATCCTCCTGAGGTCTTTTTTTTTTTTTGATGTGCTGAAACCTGCTAAAGATTTCACGTAGGAAATGGTTATAAAATTATAGAGGTGAGAAGGATTTCTGGATGCACAATGCACTCCAGGATCCATCCAACTCTCCTCCTTCGTGAAACTGTTATTGATATACTGCATGGAATTACTTGTGCATTAATATATAGAGTGCTATAGATAAGTAGATATATACTCTGTGTCAGTACAGGAACAAAAAAAACAGGGCAATTACACAAGTTTACATACATATCTTCCCTTTGGGGCAAACCATGACAGAGCTTGTCATGTTTTCTCCTCATCCATTTCCTCCAGCATCACCTCTGTGCTATATGGGTCACTTCTCTAGATGGTTTCATGTTTTACTGAGTCACTACATCGAAGTATTGCAGTTGTGGAGCCATCTGTCTGACACCCATTCACTCTGCTGTAATCTTTTTGAAAATGTTTGTTTGTGGGGGGGGGTTGTATTTCATAGTTTTATATATTGTGACAGTGTCCCTATGCAACCACAAACAGAAGGCAGAACTAACAAAAGTCAAGCGTCAACTTATATGCATGATTAGTGATGTTTGCATTTTAAATAAAACTGATGAATGATTAAGAAAATGCTTGTTTCATATTTATGTTGCCTTTGGGGTGTATTTGCACCTCTAATCTGAATTGTTCTTCCCTCTCTACTGTTCATCTCAAAATTATCCTTCATAACTGATGTTGAAAGGAATTAATTTCTTCCCTTATCTGGCATGTTTCAACCCTCAGGTCACAATCTGAATTAGCCAATTGGTTGAGTCCCTCAAGAGTCCTTGAGGGTCAAGGTGAATTCTTGGTGTCTACATGAACACAACCATATAGCAGATGGTCAAATGGTTTGCTAGTGTGACCCACAAGTTATAACAAATAAACAAACATTTTACATTAATCTACAGCCATTTGGAAGGTCTCTAATCTAAGTATTAATTAGGCCCAACCCTTGTGAGTAAAAGAACTGACATAGTGTTGGTTGTGATTGCTCTTGTATGTTTGTCCTAGATGTGATGGTGGTGATTTTTTAAGGGACTCTGGGAAGACCAGCTGGGAAATTCTAGGAGTTGAAGTTCACCCAACTTAAAGTTGCCAAGGTTGAGAAAAACCTGGTATACAGGCTGTGGAGATCTGAATGGGAGGAACAGCTCAACCCCAGCAAGATTGAGTGTTATGGATATTAGTTTGGGAGTGATGTAGGAGAAGCTTTTTAATCTATTCCTTTGGGGTGGTTGTGCATTTTTTGGTTGACCTAATGTTCCTTTTTTCTTGTTATGCTATCTCCAAGCCCCTTGGAGTGGAACAATCTAGACATTTGATAGACAAACAAATAAAGAGAGCAACATGAAGAATGTTCACTCTCAAGAAGTTGTATAAGAATGGGTTTTTCCAAAGGCGACTGCCTTCAAACAACTGAGCCAAGCTTCCACACCCAAGCTGCCAAGCTGATTTGAATGAACATACTCCTAGTAGGTGATTCCATGGGAGTGACTTCATTGCCCTTGCTTAACACTATCATTAGCTCCATGGAGACTCCCTCTCCGCTAGAAATAATGAGGGTGGGATTGACAGTGGAACATTCTCTAACCACTGGTTTGCAAGGAAACTACCCCAGAGTATGGTGGCCTTGGATCACTGGAGGCCAATTAATGTTGCTGCAACACAGCACAGCTGAAGGAGGAGTGTTGGTGCAGAAAATTGGAAGCTTAAGACAATGGAAACATCTCTGTAGGGGTTGGAATAGGTTCCGCTTACCCCACAACGCAGCAGAAAAAGATACTTCCATTGATTTTGGCTTTTGAACAGCCATCTCCCATCCATCTATGCTATGTAATTTGTGTGTGAGCCCCACTAGCTTCGTTTGTAGACCCTAGGAACCATGTCTTGGAGAGACTCAACTCTCATAGAAGTACCAACATTTTTGACAGAGAAGGACAGACTGAAGGATTTGGGACATGACCCCAACAAACTCTGTTTGGAAGCAACTGAGCCCAGTTGTCTCTCAAGTTGGGTGAGAATAACCACCACCTTTTTGTAGTGACCTGTTAGGAATGCTGGATGTCTCCACTTCACAGCTGGAGCAGCTGCAAAGAACATCTGCTGGAGAAATCAGAGGCATGTTAGGCAGACCATAGCTCTACATTGCTTCTGGCAAGGATTAGGTTGCCTACTATACCACTGGAATTGGGTATGTCTAGTTTAATGAAAAGAAGGACTAGGGGAGACATGATAACAGTCTTCCAATATCCAAGGGTCTGCCCCAGAGAAGAGGAGTCAAGCTATTCTCCAAAGCAGGGGTCTCCAACCTTGACAACTTTAAGGCTTTGCTGGCTGAGGAACTCTGGGAGTTGAAGTCCACAAGCCTTAAAGTTGTCAAGGTTGGAGACCCCTGCTCCAAAGCACCTGAAAGCAGACCAAGAAGCAATGGTTGGAAACTAACCAAGGAGAGAAGCAACCTAGAACTAAGAAGGAATTTCCTGACAGTGAGAGCAATGAATCCATGGAACAACCTGAATGGAAGTTTTTAAAGAAGAGATTGGACAACCATGTTGTCTGAAATGGCATAAGGTATCCTGCCTGAGCAGTGGACAGAACTAGAAGACCAGTCCAAGGTCCCTTCCAACTCTGTTATCCTGTATTCTACTAGGAGGCTAGTAACGGTATCCTAACACTGAAGAATAAAAAAGACAGTTATTCTCCATTCTTCCCACATACAGAGAAAGAGGAATCTCAACAGGAAAACAGATGTTCCCAAGGATGAAGAAACTAGGATAGAAGGTGTGTGATCACATCCCCCACACTCAGGCATGTGCTCCTGTAGACCAGCTTTGGTTAACAGAGCTGCCCAATCACCCTTAAAACCTGTTTGCCTAAGTATGAAGAACATAATGACTGTACATCTACCGTATTTACAAACTGAAAATGTCTCTAAGCAGATAAGCCCTCTTAGCAAAAGCTGAACCCAAAAAATATTAACCCACTCAACCAGATCAAGGAAGGAGGAGCTGGAAAAGGCTGTGTTCTTACATACCCATCTTTACTTGCCACTGGGGATAACCCTTAGAGGTAGGAGGTTAGGGGGGCTAGGGGAGAAGAATATTAATAGATCCTTATGGTGAGAGATAGAATCTAGGACTACAAGAATGTCAGAGGGTCTGCTTTGGTGTGATTCCTCTCCCCAGGCTCAGACTATGACCTGTTGCTCATCCCACAATGGGACAAGAGTTGGCCATGGTTTGCCCCTGAACTCAATGGAGTAGAAACTTGGAGCAGCTTTTGACCCGTGTCCAACCAAACAGATCCTTTAACATCATAGGCCTCCCCCAACTCAATCACTCTCACAAAGAGTTCTTCGCCAGGAGGGTAGGGAGTAGGACAACCAAAATCCATGATGGGACATCTTGAAGACTCCATGAAGATGCTTTCATGCCCGGCTTGATTATTCACTTGCTGTTTGCTATGAAGTGTGGTGAAACGACACTGAGAAGTTTCAAAGTGGCATGTCAGTTGGGTCTGGATTTGCCCTTTGGCCCCAAAGGAAAGATGGAGATCTGAACCTCTCTTGCTTGATTTCTAAGGATGTTTAAATCCCTCTATTCCTTGGTATATGGCTGTGTGTGTGTGTGTCTTTAAGAGGTAAATCTGTACACTTTCCCAGGCTTTTTGTTGTGGGTAGCACACCAAATGAGTCATTCCTGTGTGATCCTGGAGACATAATTGCAGAGACACCGAGCAAAACAGAACAATAGCAAGCAGAACTCAGAAACCCCTCCCCTTCCTCTCTTTCCCTCTCGCTGCAGATACATTTTGCATAAAAATGCTCTCTACATACCGAAAGAGTCCAAGTGGAACAGAAACAAGAGTGAGGCAGACTGAAGTAGCCGGAGTTACATTTTTCTCATTCTCTTTCTGAGTTTCCCCATAGCTGGACTCACATCCAAGGAACAGGGGTCAGTTCATTTCCGATCTTCCCAACTGTTTCCCACTCTTTTTTCCAAGCATACGTTTGCAATTCCTGGTTTCTTGTTGAATTAAAAATGCAACATGGATTCAGTGTTTCCTTAGATTTTGTGCAGAAAGATGCAGGGTTTGAAAGGGGCGATCAGAAAGGGCTAATTCTGCAGGAATGCAACCCCCATCACTGAAATGGCATGCTCCTAATGAGGCATCCTCTCCATAAATATATTTGCGTCCTTTTATGACTCCATCTCTGCCCTTGCAAAGAGAAGATCTGCAGAAGATCTGGGAAGGTGGAACCGGGCTTTACATTCAAGGCAAGGTTCTTGGAGAGAGATGGGTTAGAGAGGTTGGTCAAGGTAATGCAACAAAATGTTCCTTTTGGACATCACAGGAGTTCCACCAGGGCATGAGAACAGTTAACTCCAGTCAATTGTAAAGGTCAAAGGGATAGTTTGATCACCCCTTCCCCCCATATCTCAGAGCTATGTAGGACTCAACTCCCTCCTTCTCGTCCTCTTAATTCATCTCCCCTGTCCATATTTAGCTCATTCTTGATTGAGAAAGGCGGCTGTGAGTCCTGCTTGTATCCAAGATGAAAGGGCTCATTACGTGGTCCTTCTTTGGGGTAGTCTTCACATGATGCTCCCTGAGGTGGGAAAGGAAGGAGGATAGAAATTCAGTCACATGAGCATGAATGCTTTTTCTGTCACATTTGGTTTGCAACAGGGAGTGGGAGAAACAGGAACTAGATCTTCCCAGCCTCCTTTGTAGAAGCTGGGAAGGTATCCAAAATTGTCTTTTTCACTGGGGCGTTTCAGACTAATCAGAGCTTAGTGTTTCCTGTGGGGCATGGTTGATTTGGGCAGCCATTTGATGTGAAAGTATCCAGTGAAACTCATCACTCAACTTCATCTATTGGATTAAAGGGGAATTGGAGAACACCAGAACGTCAAGGTCATTGGATATTGTCTCATCCAACCCCTTGCAGGGATCCCTCATAATTGACAGATGGCCACCTGGCCTCTGCTTCAAGACTTCCATCAAGGACTCCATCAACCACTACCTCCCAAGATAGTCTCTCCCTGTTGACCAATTCCTACTCTCTGGACCCTTTTTCCCCAGGTTTTTCCAACCAAAATCTACTTCCTGGTCATGTGGATGCAATGATCCCTTCTCTTTTTGCCAATTTATTTATGGAAGGATCATGGCTAGGTTCTACCTAAAAAAAACTCTTACCTGCAACCAGCTCATGATCCACATCCCCAGTGAGAACTAACAATGCCTTTGCACATAGCCCCAATTCCTGTCTTGGCTTGACTTAGGAAGAGCCCATCTTGCAAAGCTGTGTTAGAAGCCCCACCAAGGGCTGCATAGACACCTACAAATCAAACGGAGCTTCCAAAATTTCCAGGATCCCAGCCATGTTGATTCTAGGCAGAAAAATGGAGACACTTCTCTTGTTTGGCTTTCCAGTCTGGTCTACAACATGGCAGGTCCAAGTCTTCTTAATTTGGGGGAATCAGCCAAGGTCAGTTAGGCGTTGCCACCTAACTGTGGACAGGAGTTGCATAGGATCCTGATGACACCAACTCTCCTTGTCTCTGGTTCTTGGGTGAAGATGCAGC